AGCAATGAGCGGGGAAGTCGAGCGAGGGTGACCAAACTAGTACAGAGACTGGAGAAGAAGCCAGATCTTATGAAACAGTACCAGGAAATAATTAAGGACCAGGAACGGCAAGGTATAATCGAGAAGGCACCCCAAGAGTCGAATCAACGAAAATTCTATATTCCTCACAAACCTGTGGTGAAGGAGTCAGCCGGGACAGTCTGATGATTCACCTTCCTTGAACGATTGTTTAGAGACAGGCCCGGTCCTGCAAAATCTACTGTGGGATATTCTCGTGCGAAATTGCTTCAAACCAGTTGCTTTATCAGGAGACTTGAAGCAAGCCTTCCTTCAAGTGAGAATCAAAGAGGAAGATAGGGATGTACTGCGTTTCCACTGGATTGATGAAGAAAATCCACATGAAGTTACAGTCTATCGATTTACCAGAGCACTTTTCGGGTTGAATCAGTCCCCATTTCTTCTCGGAGGAACCGTAGATCAGCACATAACGAGCGTAGCAGAAGAATTCCCCGATGAAGTCGTCGAGATTAAGGACAGTTTATACGTAGACGATATCCTAGGTGGTGGTAGTACGGTGACTGAAGTTGAATCGCTAAAGGAATCCGCAATTGAAATCTTTGACAGAGCGCATTTCCAGTTGCACAAATGGCACTCGAACGAGCCAAGTTTAGAAGCACCTGGAGGACATGATCCCGAGACGGAACCAAGCTCGGGAACCAAGCTTTGCCAAACAGCAACTGGGAGTAAAGAACGATGAGACCAGGTTGTTGGGTATCAAGTGGAACAAGTCCACAGATCAATTAGCGGTGGTATTCCCTGATGCGGAGTCAAAAGAGGACACTAAGAGAACAGTTCTCAGCAAGCTAGCTTCCATATTCGATCCGTTAGGACTAGCAGCACCAGTAACCCTATCCGACAAATTCATATATAGAGACGTGTGCGACTCTCGAGGTCTTTGGGACGAAGAACTGCCAGAAGCCATCATGAAGCAGTGGAAATTATGGAATGCAAATCTTCCAGTGCAAATTGAAGTACCCAGAAGTCTGACAATGCATCAAGACAAGATTTGTTCGATAGATCTGCACGCCTTCGGTGATACCAGTGGCCAAGGGACAGCTGCGGAAGTTTACGCGGTGGTAAGCCAAGAACAAGGAGTCACGCAAGGTTTGATAACGGCAAAGGCACGGTTGGCGAAGAAGAACTTAACTATACCCAGGCTAGAACTTGTCTCGGGACAAATGGCTGCCAATCTACTAGACAACGTGAGAAATATATTGACGAGATTCCCGGTGCAAGATTGTTACGGGTGGTTGGATAGTACGGTAGCTCTACACTGGATCAACGGCGAAGGGAGTTACAAGCAGTTAGTACGGAATCGGGTAAAGAAGATCAAAGAAAAGAGTTACATAAAGTGGCGACACGTTGGAACGAAGGAAAACCCAGCCGATATTGGTAGTAGAGGTTGCGCAGGTGACAAAATTCCAAACGAATGGCTCAATGGTCCGCTTTGGCTGTCCAACCCGAGTGACTGGCTACCAGAGATCGCTACCCCGGCGACAGATGTATCTAAGGCTGAATTGAAGCTGGATCAAAGAGCAGTGTTAAGCTGTGCAATGGACGGAGAAGCTGAGATGATGTACGGGGTACTCGAGAAACATAGCTATTGGAAGGCGATGAGGATAACTGCTTGGATAGCACGATTTCTCTTCAATTTGAGATCGCATCCAACGGAACCGGGTCGTGGAGTGTTAACCACCGAGGAAATTCAAGAACAAGTCAATTGGTGGATAAAGAAGGAACAGTTGCGATACGATGACACTGAACAACTAAAAACTGGCGGAGAAGATCGTGATGCATGAACATGTGTGCACCTTACATGGGGGAGTCGGAATGACGATGGCTGCGGTGAGGAAACGCTACTGGATCCCACGGCTACGTCAATTAACGAAGAAAGTCAGAAGAAATTGCAACGGATGTAAGAGATTTCAAGTAACCCCCTTTAACAAACCACCTACAGGCAACCTACCCAAGGACCGAACGCAGGGAACCAGACCCTTCCAAGTGATTGGAGTCGACTACGCGGGCCCATTCCTGTACAAGAACCGATCAAGAACTAAGTCGAAGGCTTATCTTCTTTTATTCGCGTGTAGTCTTACGAGAGCAGTTCATTTGGAACTCTTACCGAACATGTCGACCGAGGAGTTTATGCGTAGTCTAAAGCGAGTCATAGCGAGAAGAGGCAAACCAGAAAAAGTATACTCGGATAATGCCAAGACGTTCGTGGCGGCGGCTAATAGAATCCGGAAGATTTCCAAGAGTGAGCTAGTAAATGACTTTCTCGCGAAGAACAACATTACCTGGCAGTTTAATCTGAGCAAGGCCCCGTGGTGGGGCGATCAGTATGAAAGACTTGTTGGTCTGGTGAAACAATCATTGTACAAGGTGATAGGAGCGTCGCACTTGAAGTGGAAAGAGCTCGAGGAAGTCGTGTTAGACGTGGAGATCAGCTTAAACAACAGACCTCTTACTTATGTAGAAGACGATGTGGAGTTGTCAGTTCTTACCCCTAATCTGATGATAACTGGTGAATCGTATGTTCTTCCTGACGAAGAAAGGGATTCGACGGAAGAAGAAGAGATCAAAAGACGTGCAAAGCATGTACTGCGAAGTAAGGAAGCTGTATGGAAAAGATGGACGGGGGAGTATATGAGAGCCCTTATAAGAGAACGACACAACCTTAAACACCAAGGGAAGAATAAAACGCCAACAGTCGGAGAAGTAGTGTTAATCAAGAACGACAGTAGAAATCGCGGTAAATGGAATATCGGCATAGTTACGAAGCTGATTAAGAGACGTGACGGAGTGGTGCGAGGCGCTCGAATGAGATCACGGAAAACGACGATCGACCGGCCGATACAAGATCTTTACCCTCTAGAATTGTCAACCGCGTCAACCAAGCAGGACGATCGCGAAGAACCAAAGAGCCTAGACCCAGGTGCTAGAGAATTCAGACCCAGAAGAGCGGCGGCTGTGTTGGCGAAAGAGAAGATAAAACTTTGGGCGGAGGACGAAGATATTTAGCTACCATTTCCCACTAGTCGTGGACAATGGGGGGAGAGTGTCGGAGACCTTTAAGTACTTTATAATACGAAAAACATATAGTTCATTTTGTTTAACCTTATTTGGTTCGCGCGCGTGATTACCACGCGAGGACGCTGGGGAGAATTTAGATTTCAAAAGGGCGAGATATTTCTGTGATTTGTGAAGCGAAAAATACAACCTTTTGTAAACGTTAGTGAGTGATTTCTTTATTGTTGGGGAAGCAATCCCGATAAGTGAGGAAATTTGACAAAAAAATTGCATGAAAAATAAAATGCCCCACATACCGTGTATGCACGACCCTCCCACCCTGGGGCTTAACATTGATAGGTGCATAAATGTTTTACAGCATGACAATACCTCGAAATCATCAACTTTGAATTGGCTCAAATATTTGATAAGAGTTTTCGCTACGCGCGCGGTAATATCCAATCAACTCTCATGCAACTCTTGCTCTCGTTTGACTGGGGCACTGAGAGTTGAGAAAACTCTCGCTTTGTATCTTTTTAATATTAACGACTGATAGTGGGCGATCCTCTCCCTGCAGAAAGGAATTTAGATGGGAACAGATTCAAAATCACACGCCATGTATACTTGCACTGCATTTATGAACGATTCTAGGTTTTAAAATACAGGGCCGTAGCCACCGGACCACTTTCCAGAGCAACAAAAAAATTTTTGAGGTGTTAGACTTTGCGCCAATATTATAGATAAAATTTTGACTTGGAGGCCAAAATGGTTATGATTAAGACACTGCTATTTACACACTGCTTTGGACATGTCCTTAATTAACCTCAGCGTTAGTGACACCGTGAAGCAGTCATCAGCTATGGAAGACTGTTTAGACACTTGATACAAGCTGGTGAAGCTAACCAAGTTCTCTCCAAAGCAGGAGGCAATGTTGCGTGAGCTAAAGGAAGAGATTGGAAGCGATATGCGCAGTGTGCGAGCACTCGATCTGACGAGGTGGCCAGTCCGTGTCGAATCCCTAGCTCGCCAGTATAGAAGCCAACTATGACGGCATAAACCGTAAGACCTCTATTTTCAAGACGCCCACACCTTCATCTAGAAAATTTAGGACTCCCCTTACTCTAATATTTAATTCGTTACATTTTTTGGTGTAAAATAGGTAATGGGACAAGTACTGGTGTAAGACATTGTGTAGCCTAAATAATTGGAGAACCAGTATTCAAAAGACTCCTATGGTGAACTGCATATACGTAATAAACTATTGAAACTACGATTATAGGAACTAAAAAAGCTGAAATATATTGTGAGTAGGAAGGTATTAAAAATTTGGGGTTGCCCCTTGTCGTATTAGATCGATTTAGAAAACACGACGCGACGTCTAAGACGACGCGAAAAATCTGAAAATGACGTATGTACCTCGCGTTCACTTCCGGGTTTTAACCTGGGACGGCTTGTTTGTCTTTTTCGAAGCAATTTTTTTTTTTTTTTTTTTCTTGTTACCTGCTCATTCCTGTATTGTTTTCAATCAGTTGTCAAGTTATGTGCAAGAAAACGCTATATAATACTGGCCAAGTGTTTCCTGATGAATTAGTATGAACATTCAATAAGTTTTTTTTAGAAAAAGACGTATTTTTCAGTTTGAGGCCGCCCCCAATTCAGGCAAAAATAGTTGAAGCGGACCCCCTTTTCTCACCCACCGTTATTCTTTTCTCACCCTTCCATTATTAATGACCGGTCCCTTAGTCAGACATTGCAGAATCCAAAGCTCTCTAGTGTCAAAGGTCATGCAGTAGCAATGCTCACGGTGAATACACTTGAAAGCTTGCGAACGGATGATAACTTTGAGTTATTGTAGTTAAAGATTTGAATATGAATTTATTAATAAAATATAGACTTTGCAACCATAAAGGTTGAAATACATCTATCATTTACAGGGTTGGTTGATTAGAAAAATATTGTATATTTACAAAAACGTATTTACTATAATATAGGAAGAGTTTAGAACTTCTAGTATGATATTACCATTATTTACAAATAAAAATGTATGTAATTTATAGTTACTCAATGTTTATTATAAATCGTTACAGACGAGGGAATGTACGAATTTTTGAAGCGATTTGTCCGACAATTAATTGGAACGAGTTTATTCGATGTGCGTAGATTGTAGCTTGGATGTTCGGCTGGTTCAACTAGTTCGGAAAGAGGACTAGTTTGCGGAAGAACCTTTTTTCTAAAAAATTTTGAACATAACAGTTCGCGCCTAGAATACAATGTTGGGATATTGAGATCTGACAAGGATTCTTTGTATCATGACGATGGGTTAATTATTTTCAACGCTCTTGACTGGATCCTTTCTATTTCTTTGGATACGTATTCAGGTATGTTATAATGCCAAACTTGGGCGCAATACTCCAAAATGGGTCCTACACATGAAAAATACACTGATATCAATGTTTTAGTGTCACAACGAGCTCGCTTGAGGAGTCTAAGCATGTAAAGGCGTTTTGCGGATTTTTTCACTATGTAAGCCACGTGGTCATTCCACTTTAGGTCGTCCTTGAAAACTAAGCCAAGGAGTTTAGCGGATTTCACCACTTCAATGGGCTGTTCGTCAACGGTCGACCATTGGAGGGAAATTTGGAATGTTTTTCCAAAAACAAACGAGGATTTCTTTGCATTTACGGGGGTTTAAGGACATGTTACTTCTTGCACACCACTGCATAATTCCTTCTAAAATAGTTTGAAAGTTCGAATGTTGGTTTCTAGAAAGGGTTTCTGAAACAGACGAATCGTCAACATTTGATTGTGTTTCGCCAAACACATCCCATACTTCACAGCAGTAATCGAAGTATGGGCGAACAATAGCGTTATATATGGAAATAAGTGTTTCTTTGTCAACAAAAGGTTTGACTCGACGAATAGCAGAGATTCCTGCTGTTATTTTTTTGCAAATATTTTCAGTATTACTTTTCCAAGATAAATGCTGGTCAACTGTTACTCCAAGAGTTTTGCATTCATAAACTTGTTTAATTTGTTTATTTTCAATGACAACATTCGGATGAGAATTAGAGATCTTTTGTTTTGAACCAATTAACATGAATTCGGTCTTGGCTATATTAAGGCTAAGTTTATTAGCAATTAACCATTTTCTAAGAGGTTTTCTAAATCAGAGTTAACTGCAACCTCAAGATCCGTTATAGAATCTCCTGAAGCTGTCAGATTTGTGTCATCGGCAAACAAACAAGGTTTTGTTTTATTTAGACATTGAGGTAAATCATTTACATACAGCAAAAAGAATAGTGGCCCCAAAATAGAGCCTTTTTCATTTACATACAGCAAAAAGAATAGTGGCCCCAAAATTCCGCCGAGTCCATTTTGAAACTCTTGAATTTGCTGTAGGAAGCAGTAACGAAGCATCCATAAAAGATTTGACCAAAAAAGTTTCAAGACCTTTTGCAACGTAGAGCAGCTGCTTTTCAGAGCATGTGCAGGAGAGAGTTTCGACAAAGAACTGAATGCTGTTTGCATTTTTTTTTACGAAGACTTCACCAAAGATGGCACAGTTATCAGCCCTTCAAACGCTATATCGTTCCGTAACAGATGAGACTCCATCTGTTGATTGTATCAAGACCGCCCTCCTGACCCTTTCCGCCCCTCAGCGAACTCTGTTGAATGAAGTCTGCAAGTTGTTTCAGCTTCTGATAATCCTCCCAGCAACAAATGCCATCTCTGAGAGATCATTCAATCAGTGTTCTACGACGTATAAAGGAACAATGACAATGTCTCAGGAACGGCTTAATCATCTCAAGATTCCGCACTACCACCAGGACATCACTGACAGTCTTGATCCGAATCGAAGTCTATTGCCAATGACCATATAACCAAAAAATAAAGCAAGGAAAAACACATTTGCTACTTTTGTACTTTAACCATCGAACGTTTACTATGTCCATGGATATCACAGTTTAGATCACCCAGAATATACTTGTATATTTCTTTATTTTCATCATCAATAGCTTTGATTAATTTTTCAAAATAATCAAAGAATTCAGATGATGCATTAGGTGGTCTATAAACTGTTGTAACAAGAGATGGTCTGCTATGTAGCTTAATAATTTCTATACAAACAACCTATAATTCAGAGGAAATCAGATCTTAACTTATAATGTAGTTGACGGAGGCTGGAGCTACGCAAGTAGATACAAACTCCACCCCCATTTCTTGACTTGTTTTTTCTAATAATATCATAATCGTTCAGGTGAATCATACCAATAGTTACACTTGGATCGAGGCGTGTTTCATTGAAAGCAATAAGATCAGTGAAGTTGTTTGACATTGAATACATACATGCCAGACATGTGACCTGAACGAGAAATCAGTTTGCTTTAGTCACTACTGAGTTTAGTTGAGTCTTTACTTCATCAAATTATTCATGACCGATAATGTACTGTATAATAAAATCTACAATATTACATTTACATAGCCTTAAGATTCTGCTTTTGGTCGTACATATATATGCATCACCCGAATTATCTATCGTTGGTAAGTTGGTTATCAGTGTTATCCTTTCTTAGCTTAAATGTGTGGTAATATTCGTAAGTAATTGGAGATCTTTCAGTGAGTTGTAAAACCTAAATATCTAATCAAGAAATAACACAGAACTATAACGTCCTATTGCTACTCTCGTATACTTGATTACATTATGCTATGATAACATTATTGATCTAATGTATGGTCGATGTCTATTTAAATTTTTAATTTGAATACTTGTAGACTAGCTAATACTCTTGTACTGTTTCTTGGATATATGAGTATTAGTTCCAAGGCGCGTAAATATTACCCCATGTAGTTATACTTAAATATTTAACCCAAGAATCCTTTATATCGACAAGATTTTCTATCAGGTAGAAGCAACATTCCATTAGGACAATGACAACTGTAATATGGAGGTTTAGGATTCAGTAGACATAGATTACTGCAACCTTTTTTCTTTCTTCCACAAGGATTAATTTCTGAAATAAAGATATCAGGTGTAATTCAGGTTTGTACTATGCATGAATTACGGATGCATGCGGGATTAAATGCTCTCCGAAGTCAAACCGAGATAACGAAGTCAAACCGAGTCAAACCGAGATAAAAGCATGTGTACACGAGACCAGTGCGAAAATCACAAATTTTTCAATGCGGGATGATTTCATTTTGGTGGGATCGTAGTGTTATTTATAATGGGTATTTTCATGAGACTGGGACGAAAAATTGCTCAGACCGGTCTGAAGTCGTCCTGCTCGCTGGACCAAACTGACTTTCTTCAGAGGCTTCGGAACAATGCATGCTCACAAAAGCACTGAAAGAAAGAAAATGGCGGGCAAGGGGAATCGGTTTAACTTCGTCCCGGGGACCCAGTCTCATGTAAACGGGGCCTTATTTTATAACACATACCTCTAGGGTACATCTGCTCATGAACTACTCTGATTCCAGTTGGTCGAAACGATCCAACATCCTTTGAGAAATATATCTGCCCAGCTAATTTATCAGCTTTAACGATCATATTATCCACCCAATCAGTCCATAATATTGAATTGTTGTAAACAATCAAACCAAATGGATGAATTGATTCCTCTGCCAACACTATTCGTCTTAATGAACCGTCCAAATTTGATGTTTCAATCTTATCCAACATGGCGTCCGCCCACCATAGTTTCTCTTCTTTATAATCAATTGCCAGCCCATTGGGAAAACCAAGCATCCCTTGCACGACTGTTTCTCGTGTCGTTAAATTACCATTCATGCCACATCTTTCAATCTGAGCATTTACACCCCAGTCAGTCCAATACATGTATCTATAGGAACAACAATATTTTACATGGAAAATGAATATGAAGACTTTTTTGGTATTGGACTTATTGTCTTCGTATTGTCTCATTGTTAATCAATGGGACGAAGTCCATTGTGCAACAATTATTTTCAAATTGTAGCGTTGTAGCAACAACTCCACATTTGATGTGCCATTTAGTGCGGGAAGTTGGTATCTATAACAATACGATTATGAAGACGATTCCACGATTTTTTCATGAAACCGCATGTGTTGGAAGTGAAAAATGGAGAAGCACAATAACACTCATTGCAAAAATTCTTTTCTATTTGATCAACGTAATTATCTTTCTTTTCTAACAACTCTTACCTTGTTTTAGGATGCAAAACAATCGCTCTAGGTTTGTTGAGACCTTCATCAATCAAAGTCAATCTTGAGTTTTGTTCTTCAGGGTCAGCTACTTCAATAACTCTTCTTCTGCCATCAGTCCAATATAACTTCCGATTGATCCAATCATAAGCGATCCCATCGACTGACTCCAAATGATCTTTAATAATAGTTTCAACAGCACCAATATGACTTAACGAAACACGTTCTATGGTATCGGTAATCACATTAGACCAGTATAAATATTTATTTTTGAGATCAACATCAATCGCTGCAGCAATTCCAGCAATTCCCGCCAAAACTGGACTGATGTGTCGCAAATCCACGTCCGAGTAAAACATTCCAGCACTATTGGCGAACAAAATGTATGGCGGGCTGTCTACAATCAAATTAAGTCAAATAATCAAAAATCAATTTCAAGATTATGCGCAGTTGTGGTTTCAACTCAAAATCAATATTACAGCCGCAAGGAGTACATGAAAAATAGTTTGAGTGCAAAGTTTGCATTGAATTAAGCAGATATGGTGGACCGCACAAGGGAAAATAATTTATAGATCCCTGTTATTGTTGAAATTTTCGGCGTCTCTTACTTTGTAGCTTTTCTTACCAGATTCTTTGCAGACTTTGCATTTGCACGCTTTCCAATTTCCTCTTCCCGGCTTCAATATGGTTTTTAAATGCCAAAGTAACTGTCGTTTGATCGACATACATTCAATATAGCACAATTGAAACGTCAGTCCAACCACAATACATTGCGATTAGAAACTTCCCGACTATGGACGTTCAGGACGTAATGAACAAAAATTACTTCCAATTACTGTAAACTCAAAACTACAGGGAACGCTTCCTAGAAACTGAAATTAAAACCCAACGTGGGTCATTTCCATATTAACAACCACAATTTAAAAGGTGGCTCACCCATTTAAAAAGAAAACTGTATCGAGCTACCTTGGACATTGAACACGGGTATTTCTTTCACTTACACTATTCCTAATGTTTGCAGTCCTGATAAATCCCAACTCTAATCTTACTCTTTTCCTAACAGTAATCCTACCTAACCTTATTAGATATAAACGGGATATTTACATTAATATCGGGACAGTTATATTATACCTTCTATTGTGCAAGTTCTTTTGTCTTTCCATAATTTCAAACCAGTGGGACAGAAACAAGAATATTGTTGATCCTGGTTTGGGGACAACAGACAAAGATGACTGCATTGGCCATTATTTAAGCCACAAGGATTTAATTCTACAAAAAAAACATGATTTGATCATCACTATGTCCGAAATATAATACTTTGCAGGGTTTCTTTCACACTTCTACACGCATTAGGGCAGCCTTTTGAGAATCTTTTTTATGTTAGGGGCAGTTCATAGTGCCTGGGAACTCACCGGAATGAAATTAGAGAGGTTAAGATACCCCGGTTTACGCGTACGGGTGCTATACACGTACCCGTATCCATAAATCGGGGAACGACTTGTAACTCAAGAAACCCAAGCGTAAGAAAACCGTCATAGAATGGTATTAACTTTCGTTGTTCAGGTTCGCCATAGATTGTTGAAAACTTTGACGAGGATATGTGCATTATTTATTTGGGTAAGATGTTGAAGTTTTTTACTATTTGAACGACCAACAAATAGTAAACAGAAAACACCCGTATCCGTTGTCTTTTACGTGTAGACCATGGTTTTCTGCGGGGAAACGAGTAGAAATTACGGGTAAAAATGCTGACATCAGCTAAAATTGGTAAACAAAATGGCGATACTCGTACCAGTAAACCGGGGTATTTTAACCTCTCTAATCAATGAGAGACGAACCAGATGGTTGTGATACCACCTAACGCTAGTGTCTAGTCTGATTGGTGTCTACTGTGCGTGGGTGTTACGATCGATACAGGGCCAACAATATTTTTAAAACAGCATCTTATTTTCAGGGGACAACAAAGGTATCCGGGAAACTAAAGCAGGGCCGACAGAATTTGAGTCCGCAAGTGGAATAAACTTTCCAATTACGCTTCATCATTCTTTCATAGACTTGCTGTTTCAGGGCTATACAGTACAGTACACTAGCAGGAATTAATTTGGGGGGATGCAGGGGTTTATGCACCTCCTAGCCTAGGAGAGGGGGGGATTTCCTATACTTGGGTACAGACTAGCGCCTGGTTGCCGTAACGCCTTTATAGTGATTACATACTTAGTCAACGGTCGCACAAAGCTTGATAAGCACACCCGGCCCTCACCCATATCCATTCTTGCACACCAGGAAGTGTGTATAGCCGTGTTTACACTGCAACTACATTCAACTTTCTTCGCGAGTACACGTGACGTGGCTTCCATAGGTCGCTCGTCTCGCGTGGGCAAAGCGACCGTAATGGAACATGATCTTAATGAATACATTAAATGTCATTAATATAAACAAAGTTATAGGCTACCTTTTAGTTGTTGATGTGGATGTACAATCTTTATATCCATCGGTGAAAAGTTTTGTAAACGTTTAACAACAGTTATTCTTCTACTAGAATCTTTCTTTGTTGTCCGATAAATCAATTTCTGTCCCCAGTCAGTCCAAAATATACTCTGACCAAACACAGCCAAGGAGAATGGATGACCTAGTTCTCCATTCGTTCCATTTATCTGTGTTCTTCTGTCAGTTCCATCGAAATTCATACTTTCAATTCTTGCCATTTTTGCATCCACCCACCACAGACGTTCTGTTTGGTAATCAATGGTCAAACCATTTGGCCAGTTGATATTATTACTTACTAAAACTTGGCGTGTTTCAGAATCTCCGTTCATCCCACATCGCTCAATTTGTGCGCCTTTTCCCCACTTAGTCCAAAATAGCAATCTCAAAAGATAAATCATGGCAGCATGTTAAAGTCATGATAACAAGACTTTTTTCGGATATCATTTTAAATTACTATCTCCTTTTTGTAATAATTCTAATCCAAAGGCTACTTCAAAAAGTTTTTCAACTTTGTTTTTTATGCAAACGTTCTTGTAATATGTAGTTATGAAATGAAATACATTTTCAATATCCTCTATAAGCTTAAACAGATAAATGCTAGCACACGTTATATTATTTGTCAACCACAGGTATATGACCCATCATTTAATAGGTATGCCCTTCAAACGTAAGATGTATATCCCCCCTTCACAGTGATTTCACCATGCGAAACAAAATCATGTGCAAATGTCTACCTGTATTCAGGATGAACAACAATAGCTCTTGGTCTTTGTACATTTTCACTGATCAACACAGCACGATTTCTTCCGTCCAGTTCCGAGACTTCAATCTTTCCTGGAGTTCCATCTGTCCAATATAACTTTCTCCCAATCCAATCAACTGCTATTCCTTCAGGACTTTCCAAATTAAACTGTGTCACAATTTCAAAGGAATAGTTATGTGCCCCAATCTTAGCTCGGTGTATGCTATCATGATGTATATCAGTCCAGTAGACCATCCCTTGTTGAATGTCAATGTCCATGGCGACAGCATTTTGTAATTCATCGATCAGAACTCTTGAAGTGTAATCCTGCAGATTTAACTTGTTTATGCTATTTTGTGAACAATACAGGATGTATTCTACAAAATCAAGAAGAACGCGTTGATTTTAGGACATTTCTGCAGTTTGGTACCGTGCGAGCAGAGGTTCCCATCTGTACGGTTTCTAAGATGAGAAGGAAACCTCTGCTAATTTCCTGGACATTTCCCGTTCAGAATGCTTAAAATAGTCGGCCTATACAGATGTTGAGCTTTCGGTTGCTTCCCTTCAAGTTTTCTAATTAGGCTGATTGGTCATAAACCTCCTTCTCCCCCCCCCCCCCACACACACACACACAGTGTCACACATGATTTTCTATAGTATGATGAATATTACTCTGAACTTTGATTACCTTGGCACATATTTTCATCGGATAAATCAATACAATCATTAATCCCATCACAGGTCTTATTTCCTGGGATGCATTTCTTATCACATTCGTGTTGATCTTCACGACATCGTGAACGGGTCATTGGAGAGTTGCCTAGTTAGAAAGAATTTATTTAATCTACAATCACTTTCAAAAGTTGTTGGGACACATGCAGTTTTAGAGTGTAAGTGGATCATTACAGTTTGTTATATATAAGACCGCTCCCTTCCCCCTCTCCAAACAATGTCGCTTTCTCAATTTACATACCAAAACACATCAAATCTGACAGGAGGCGGGGGATTCACGTTTGTTGAAATTAAAAGTTTTTGTGGCATCTGTCCCAAGACTTTTGAAACTGATTCTACATAGTCCACAGCATGGAAAATCGATACAGTACATGAAAACTAAGTCTACGTTAATTACTATTTACTAAAATTAATAAAATAAGACTGGTCGCTTAGGAAATCGAAATTCACCAGATTATGTATGCTATTGCCCTTGAACAATTCGCTCTTAGTTGCACTTTCCACTATAGAGCGTTGGCACTCATTTCCCAGGGACCAACTCAACAAAAGCTATGGCGGCCATGTTTGTGTTCCAGACAAGTTCCAGACAAAATAATCTAATTAAAATTATTTTGAATAGACCTTTCTTATAATTATGGCGTCAGCGTGCATAAGCTATTTTGTGACGTCAAACGCGGATAAACACTTCGTCTTCGATTTTCTTGTTTGTTTTGTTTTGAAAGTTTTTCTCCAGGAAAACCCCACAAAAACGGTAGGTTTTGCTAATTTTATTTATTTACAGCTGTCATGTTGGTGATCCAATAGACCTTTCTTATAATTATGGCGTCAGCGTGCCTAAGCTATTTTGTGATGTCAAACGAGGTAGGTAGGGTAGGTAGGTTTTCCTAATTTTATTTATTTAAATCAATTAGTAGGTAGGACGTGATGTGATGTTTTCAATGAATGTTGATAAAATTTAGTGTATATTTCCCTCTTGAACGTTGTCAAAGTGACTGAAAAACAAAGCAGTATTTATGGCTACGGATACTAAGACGAGAGATTGTCTCACTATTTTATTTTCGATTTTATGTCCCTGTTTTACGTATTTTAAACTATTTTTTCTGTTTTATTAAAAGTCAACAGTCAAATTATCCTACATAAGACATGCCATACTGCAAATCCTCTGGAAATTGTTATAATTCGGCCTCTAAAAAGAAAATATCCTTCATAAACTTCATATTCTGACTGGCTCATTTCGGCACTTCAGCCCTCAATCAACTCTAACTACACTCCACATTATAAAAAAACATTTGTTCACATTCATATTTATATTGTAATAACATTCACTATTACTGTATTATTCAATCTTATTTTTATCTTATATAATAACTGTAAAAGTCAATCACTCCATATCTTGTAGAAAAAATGACCATATTCTCTGCTGATTTTATAAACTTCAGTCCTATGGCTCTGCACTATACCGCAAAAGTTTTCTTTGTATTTTGGTAGTTGTTCATGCAACATTTATTATAACAAAAAGTCAACATATTTATGGCCGATGCTCGTCATATTCCCAAATCATTGATGTTAATAGACAACTTGCATGTTAGACAAACTTTTTATCTAGGCAAAAAAAGTAAATTCCCGTAAAGAACTTATTAAAATCAGTAAAATTGCAAAATTTGGTTGCGAAATGTTGTAAAATGCAGAAAGTTTGCATATTTTCAGTATATTTGTATTACGTGCGAAAATTGTTATCATTTTTTAGCCGAAAATGGTAACAATTTCCGCCGTAATACAAATATACTGAAAATATGCAAACTTCGCAAGGCTATAGTTTCTGCATTTTACAACATTTCGCAACCAAATTTTGCAATTTTACTAATTTCATTATTTTCGTTTTGACTGTTGTGTTTTATTCCCTTCTCTTTACTGAGATTAAAATTTAGTCTAACATGCAAGTTGTCCATTAAACAAATCTGTGTTCATGTTAATTCAAAGCTGAAGTGCCATCTGAAGAGAAAATAAGCCAGCCAGAATATGAAGTTTGTGATGACCATTTTCTTCTTAGAAGCCGATTTTTTACAATTTTCAGAGGATTTGCAGTATGGTATGTCTTAATATGTATGAATGTATAACTGTTGACTTTTAATAAAACACAAAAAATAGTTTAAAAATCCGTAAAACAGGGACATAAAATCGAAAATAAAATAGTGAGACAATCTCTCGTCTTAGTATCCGTAGCCATTACTGCTTTGTTTTTCAGTCACTTTGACAACGTTCAAGAGGGAAATATACACTAAATTTTATCAACATTCATTGAAAACATCACGTCTTACCTACTAATTGATTTAAATACATAAAATTAGGAAAACCTACCTACCCTACCTACCCCGTTTGACGTCACAAAATAGCTTATGCACGCTGACGCCATAATTATAAGAAAGGTCTATTGGATCACCAACATGACAACTGTGACGTCATGTGCAAACGCTCTATGCCTCGGATTCCAACTGCACCAATCACTGACAATTAATTCCGAATAGGTCTTAAAATGACAAAATGTACATGGCTGTTTGCTACTCAAAACTTATACATTCAAAGTGTCATCGATGCTTTTGGGAATGGAATATGAAACTCTGTTCACAAAAGAAGCGATGAATTCGAACTTAGCACAATTTGCGGCGTGAAACCGCACGAGTTTGGGCGCAGCTAACCGTACTACTGAACGGTGTATATCGGAACTGCGTACGATTTCGAAATCATCCGACCTCGTTAAACTTCATACCACAGTTTATTTCATCAGATCCATCTCTACAATCTCTCTCTCCGTCACATAACCACGTGCTGTGTATACAAATTCGCTTGTAAGTGGAAACGGAAATAGAACATTTAAATTTTTCTTCCTAATCTCATTGAAAACTGTGTTTGAGGGCCCTGAAGGGGTAAAATGGGAACTGGGATTGACCTATTTTTAGACTGGGAAAATGGGATTTGGGTTGCTGGGACTGGGATTTGGCCACTGGGAATGGGAAATGAAGTCCTCAAAAATGGGAATGGGATTGAAGTAATGCGAGTCGATTCCCAATTTTGATCCGTTTTTGGTGTCTTTGGTCATGATTATTGTTGTTAACTATATTATTCACAGAACTACCTGCGAACAGGCATACTCTGAAGCCCGGAATTCTGGGTTTTCTGATTACGTTTTCTGGTCTCAGAATGCTGCAAATGCCATTTCCGGGATTCAAATTTAAAAAATTTTCCGTGCCTTCGCCACGAGCCCTCCCCCCCAATATTTCATAAAGTGTCCGCCACTTGCACACACGGTGGCTTAACTAAAAGGTCTTAAAACTGTTTATTCTACCGATAAATAAAGGGTTTTTTATTGACTGGGAATTCAATAACTGGGACTGGGATTTCTAATAAAAATCCAACTGGGACTGGGATTTTGCAAAAATTTCAGGTGGGAAATGGGATTGGGACCCCCCCTTCAGGACCCTCTGTGTTTGGATAAATGCATAAATAAAATAGGGTATGCATGTGTGTTGTATAGGTTGTTTGACCGACGTCTTTAGTTGAAGGGTTTTTGTAGATGGTAATTTCGAGCTGAAGATTAAATATACAAGAACTTGTGGTTACTGCTCGTCAACTGGACTGTGCGGTCGGTTAGAGCGCTGTGCACACCAGAATCGCAGTGCCGCGTGTTCGATCCCTGCCAGAGGTGCTAGATACTAGATAGTTGCATTTTTCGCAGGTACACCTTGTTACGCCCTCTCAGTCGTTTATCTTGGGTTGCTATGCATGTTAGTCGCCCGCTTTTAGGAACTTAAGATTTGCCAAGTGGCATGCTTACAGTCGGCACACAAGTCGTAAGTATTGCTATATTTTGCTGTATATCTTGAATCTTCCTTTTGTAATTTTAGCTTATTTTGTTTATATTGTAGTTTGACGGTTCGTAGAAGATAATATAGTACATTTTCAAAGTCCTGTCGTCACAGTTGTTGTGTACCTATAACTATAAGATAGCTTGATCGGTTATCGGCCATAAGTCCATACGAGCCGTAAGACCTGTGTCGTATTTACACTACCAAGACGGTAGATACAGTCAAAGACTTGTCTATAGTAGCGAGAATATTCTACAATGAGCTTTCGTAGTCACGAAACAAGCGAAAATATCGAAAACCCGCTCGTAGAGCCGAGCGAAGCTTAGACTTGCTCCAAGTCTCTCTTTCATTGTCATATAGTATCGATCCACTATAGTGTGCATTACATGACGGAGACGCGGAGCGAGAAAGAGAGACTTGTCAACTTCGGAAAATCTCGGTTCAAAACTGAACCGAAAATGCAAGACTTGCTTTAATTGTTTTCTGTCAGTGTTTATATGTATTGATCTAGCACAGTGTAAATAACATGAGTTCCATCATAGTAAATAATACAGAAAGGAATTGAAGCAAAACAATTAAAGCAAGTCTTGCATTTTCGGTTCAGAGGGCCCTGATCATGAAGGGGTAAAATGGGAACTGGGATTGATCTATTTTTAGAGTGGGAAAATGGGATTTGGGTTACTGGGACTGGGATTTGGCCACTGGGAATGGGAAATGAAGTCCTCAAAAATGAGAATGAGAATGCGTTTTTAGTATTTTAAAATACAATTTTGATCTGTTTTTGGTGTCTTTGGTCATGATTTTTGTTGTTAACTATATTATTCACAGCACTACCTGCGAACAGGCATACTCTGGCGCCCGGAATTCTGGGTTTTCTGATTATGCGTGTCTCAGAATGCTGCAAATGCCATTTCCGGGATTCAAATTTAAAAATGTTCTGTGCCTTTGGCACGAGCCCCCC